AAAAGTACCTTCAAGTGGCCCCTGGATAGTGAGGCCCTCGTCCCACCCCGCCCATTGTCAATCATGGGTCTGCTCTCTCCCCTGCAGTTCTGCCTGTCATATAAAAGACACATCGCTTGCAGCCTGTGGGGACGGGTTCCTTTCCGCAGCAGAATGGTTCCGAGATTCATGCATGTTGTCGCGTCCACAGATGGCCTGCTCCTTTTTATTGCTGACTCCTACGTAATTTATCCTATGAATGAGCCATTCCGCAGGTGTGGGGATTTGGGCTGTTTCTAGTTCTTGGTGATTGGGAATAAGCTGATCTAGCCCTGCGTGTACAGGTTTTTGCATGAACAAAGGTCTTCATTTCTGTAGGTTACACACCAGGAGTGGGATTGCAGGACCGTACAAGTGTGTGTTTAACATCATAGGAAACTGCCATGCCGTTTTTCAGAGTGGGTGCACCATTTTACATTCCCACTAGTGACGTAGGAGCCTGATAGCTGTTCTGCATTTCCACATCTGTTTTTTCTCATCATTGAATTTCTACCACCAAGCATAGAACCTGGCACTGGTAAGTGCTCAACAAATATGCACATAGTAAGTACACAGAAATATGCATACCTACTATGTGCACATAAAAGGATAGCTAGAGGCTATCACAGAGTGGGATCAGGAGGATGAATTAGGGTAAAGGGTATAGAGTGCTTGGCATAGTGCCTGGCCCTTAGTACCTGAGGATCTTTGCTGACAGCAGAGGCCGCTCTCCCCAGGGGAGGGCCACAGAGCAGGGGCCTTAGCTCCAGCCACAGAGAGACTGCCTAGCCGAACCCTCCTCTATGCTAATCTCTGGCCCCCTCAGCGCTAGGCTTTGGGGATAGGAAGATCTTTTCTCTCCAGGAACTGAGGGGGTAAGAATCCACCCCCGCCCCAGCCCCAGCAAGACCCCCAGCGTCGCAAGCACTTCCTGAGCTTCTCTGTGCCTCCCTCCAGCCAGCCTAGGAGAAAACCAGGAGACCTGGCTCCGGCTGTGTTTTCCTTGCCTCCACACTCTGAAATGGGAGGCCCGCAGGCCAAGGAATGGAGTAAGTCTGTTTTCCTAGCTGGCCTTGTCCCCTCAAGGGGACACCAGTGCCTCCACACTGCTGAAGTTTCTCCCACTTTAGCCAAGCTCTTTGCCTGCCCTTGTCCACCCCCACTGGGGGCCTGTTTGCCAGAATCTTTCAGCACCTTTTCTCTTTCACAATCAATCTGACCCTTTTTGCTATTGTTTTTGTAGGTTAATTGAATAAGTTCTCCTCTCGGTGGAGACAGCAGGCAGGGCCAAGCACAACAGGCCCAGTGCAAAGGGGGCCTGGGAGGCCCATCCCACCTCTGCAGCCTGGGGCCTGCTCCGGCAAGGGCAGGGGGACACTGATGGGGCCAAGTTGTAATTGACCTGGCCTGCAGGCAGCAGCTAGCCGGGCTGGGAGACGCGGGGGAGGAGAGCGTCAGGCCCCCCTTTCAATCCCTGCTCTTCCTTCCTCCTTTTGTTTTCAGAGCAGATTATCCCTAAATTCTTCAGCTGGTATTTTCTGAGCACCTTCTAACATCAGAAAACTGTAGCGCGACACGAGGTGTAATGATGGAAACCAGGCTTGCCGTGGTCTCACCCACGGGCGAGTTTGTGCCCCAGGGGACACTCAGCAATGTCTGGAGACAGATTTGGCTGGTGGTGCTGGGCATGGGGGTGCTGCTGGCACCCCTAGAGTGTAGCGGCCAGGGATGCTGCTAAACTTTCTACAATGCACAAAACAAGCTCAGGTAACAACCAGTGATCCAGCCGGGATGTCAGCAGCACTGAGGCTGAGAAAGTCTGTCCCACTGTATGGATGAGGAGACCGAGGTCCTGGGCAGTTAAATGACACGTCCAAGGACACACTGGATTTCAACCCAGAGGCCTGACTCTGTTGTCCTCATGCCCCTCCCACTCCTAGAACTCATCAAGGGATGGGAAACGGAGGAGTTAGGAGGGATGGGGACTCGGGGTGGGGGGAGTTGATGGGGCTGTGGGAGTGGAGCTCTGGGGGTCTTCTGCAGAGGATGAGGGGATTGAGGGGAATTTGGAAAGACTCCCCGGGGGTGGGAGAGTGTCATGATCCCCTTTGACATCCATTCCTTTGAAATTTAGGGGGAGGGGGGACGCCTGTCACCCCCACACACCACTTCGGACAGATCCTGGGAGGTGCATTGCAGTAGCAGATGATGGACAGCAGAGGGCGCAAGGGTTCCTTTGCCTCCTAGTTATCTCTTTTTCATCGGAGTAAGTGTGCCTTAAAGGAAACTGCGGAAAGCCCAAAAAAGCAGAACAAAGAAACCTGCATTGTCCAGGACCTCACGGCCAGGGACAGCTGAACATGTAAATAGTGAATACTTTCTTCCTTTTTCCCCAGACCACGTTGTCGACTTTGTTTTGTTTTCCAACACAGGGGCTGTCAGCCTGTACACGTGGATTTTGCAGCCTGGATTCTCACTTGACATCCTGTAAGAAGCTTTTCCCTGTGTCGGACAAGCGCATGTCCTCCTCAGTCCCTGGTAACCGCTGCGGAGTCGGGGCATGTGTAAAGAAATACCTGAGGCGGGCCGGGCGCGGTGGCTCAAGCCTGTAATCCCAGCACTTTGGGAGGCCGAGGCAGGTGGATCACGAGGTCAAGAGATCGAGACCATCCTGGTCAACACGGTGAAACCCCGTCTCTACTAAAAATACAAAAAATTAGCTGGGCATGGTGGTGCATGCCTGTAATCCCAGCTACTCAGGAGGCTGAGGCAGGAGAATTGCCTGAACCCAGGAGGCGGAGGTTGCGGTGAGCCGAGATCGCGCCATTGCACTCCAGCCTGGGTAACAAGAGCGAAACTCTGAAAAAAAAGAAATACCTGAGGCTGGGTAACTCACAGAGAAGAGAGGTTTCATTGGCTGGCGGTTCTGCAGGCTGTTCGAGCATGCCACAGGCATCTGTTTCTGGGGAGGCCTCAGGAAGCTTCCAATCTTGGCGGAAGGCAAAGGCGGGCAGGCGCATCACATGGTGAGGGAGAGAGCAAAAAGAGGACGTCCCAGGCTCTGAAACCACCAGATGTGGCATGAGCTACCTGAGGGAGAACTCACTCTTCACCAAGGGGGCGGTGCTAAACTATTCCTGAGGGACTCACCCCCAGGATTTAATCACCTCCCACAGGGCCCACCTCCAACATGGGAATCCCATTTCAACATGAGATCTGGAGGGGACAAACCTCCCACCACATCAGCACACATCCATTCAGCAGATGGGTTTTGAGCCCCCGGGTGTGGGAGGCTGTGACAAGCAAGGAGACCAGCCGGGTCTGTGCTCTGGCTGGGGAAGATGGACCCCACCCAAGGTCATTTCAGATGGGGTAATACACAGTGGTAGGTGATTAAATCTGGGTGGTGTCCCTTGGGGGCCCCTCAAAGGAAGGGACATTGGGATGGGGACCTGGATGGCCACCAGGAGTCTGCTGGAGCTGCGGGGACATGCGTGGCACATTGGAAAGTCACATAAGAAAGGGGAAAGGCCTATTTTGGAACAAGACCCCCGGGATTGGGTGAGGGGTGGAACATGGGGCAAGGGGGACATGAGGGATCTCAGATGCCTGCAAGTGTCCTTCCTGGGCCTTTGGGCAGGTGGTGGTGTCATATACAGAGTCAGAGAAGAAAGGATCATGCTTAGGCCTGCTGTCCCTGCTCCCTGCTTGATATGATTTGGTTCTGTGTCCCCATCCAAATCTCATCTCGAATTATAATCCCCATGTGTCAATGGAGGGAGGTGACTGGATCATGGGGGCGGTTTCTCCCATGCTGTTCTCATGATAGTGAGTTCTCACAAGATCTGATGGTGACAGTTTCTCCTTCAAATTCTCACTCTCTCTCTCCTGCCACCATGTAAAACATGCCTGCTTCCACTTTTGCCATGATTGTAAAGTTCCTGAGACCTCCCCAGCCAAGCAGAACTGTGAGTCAACTAAACCTCTTTCTTTATAAATTACCCCATCTTGGGTATTTCTTTATAGCAGAATGAGAACAGACTGACACATGCCCCCTCCCCAGAGTCCAGCATTCAGCAGGCAGGAGGAAGAAGCACTTTCTGCTTCTCTCTCGCTAGTCAGGATAAAGAGTCAATTTCATTCCAATAAAAATGGGAACCCTTGACATTTATTTAAAATATCATCGTTTGCTCTTTCAGATTGCAAAAGTAATTACTAGTCATTATAGAAACATGTGTAAACATATAAAAAAGTACAAAGAGAACAGTGGTTCCCCACGATCCCATTGTCCAGAGACCCCCCGGAGGCCTTTCTGAGTATTCCTTTTGGTAAGACCATCATCAGTGTCTGTGTCTGCATTTATTCATTCCTTCAGCGGATTTTTGAGCACCCACTATATGCCAGTCATTTTTCTAGATGCAAAGGATGTAGCAGGGAATAAAAACACAAAAAACCCCCATCATGATGGAGCTGACATTCTAGAGAGGGCCACAAACTACATCTTCAGTAAAGGACGTGGTGCAGTCGATTATAAGGGTAGAAGTGCTGTGGAGAAATGAAAGCAGGGAACCCAGAGGAGGGCGCTAAATGGGGTTTGGATGTTTAAGTGGGGCACTCAGGGAAGGTGTCACTGAGAGGTGACATTTGAGCAGAGCCTTGAATTTTGGGAGGGAGCGAGGGCAGCTGTGGGGGAGGGGAGAGAGAACAGCAGGTACAAAGGCCCCCAGGAGGTGAGCCTGGGTGGTTCGGGAGGCACGAGAAGGCCAATTGGTGGGTGCTGGGTGAGCAGGGGTGGGAGGGGTGAGGACGATAAAGAGGAAGTTGGGGAGCAGACCTCACAGGGCTGGGGGGCTGCTGAGAGGACCATGCTTTACTCTGAGTGACATGTGAAGCCAGAGCAGGACTTTGATTTCTCTGTAAATGTTTTATTATCAATCCAAACAAAAGTGGAGAGGACAGTAAGATCAACCCCACATACTTACCCCGCAGCCCCGCGTACAGTCCATCTGGCTTCACTGATTTCTGCCCCACTGGAGGTTTTGAAACAGATCCGGGACACTACCTCATTTCATCTGTGAACATTTTATAAATGTCACCAAAATCAGGATTTTTCCTAACATAACCTCAATACCATTATCATGACTTCAAACATTACCAATCATTCCTTAGTGTTACCAGAATTCCAGTGCACATCACACGCCCTTCATTCTCTCAACTTGTTTTCATCTTGATTTGTTCAAACTAGGATCCAAACAAGGTTGTTTATGAGCGCTGAGCTGTTCCTTACATCTTTTAAAAATCTTCTTCTATTTTTCTCCTTGCAGTGTATTTGTTGAAGAAACTGGGCTGTTCATTCTCGAACGTTTTCCATATTCATAGCACCTATCTCCTTTGAATATGCCATCTAATTGACTCTTCCTGTTTAAAAACATCCCCTCTTCCCTCCTAGAAAGCAGTCTCCCGAGAGCAGCAGTTCTTGGTCTGCTTTGTTGCCTGTTGTATGCCCAACACCAGAGCCTGGGACAGACTCGATGACCCATAAAAGGATGGCTAACACCGAAAATACTGGCTATGTTTCCCAGCACTACAGATGAGGAGACTGAGGCTCATAGAGGTTAAGTGAACTTCACAAGGTCACACTACCAGGAAGTGAGGAGATCGGGATTTGAACTCAATCTTTCAGGCTTAGTGATCAATTTTAACAACCATACACCACACTCTCCCGTGACCCATGTCCCTCCTTCCCCACACATGGCAGCCGTCTGTGAATGGACCCAGCTCCAAAGACAATTCCCCAGGACTCTCGGAGTCCCACTTTCCTAGGGGTGCTGGTGCTTGCTGGAAGCTGAGCCCCACTGGAGATGAAGCCATACTGAGCCACCAGGGATGCTTGTCCTCCCTGAGACAGTCTCAGCAGCCCTGGGTGTCTCAAACTCCCCAGCACTGGCTTGAACCCCAGTGGCTCCCCCAAAGGTGGGGACCCCCAGCCCTGGCTGAGCATTTGGTTCATAGTAAGTGACCAAGAGGCTGCTGGGAAACAAGAGACCCAGCAAAAGCAGTCAACGTATGTGAGCTACACCACTGCTGGACCTGCTAGGCCCTGCCTCCGCCAGCCAGCCTCCGGGTCAGTGCTGATCAGTGGTTCTCAGACCAGCAGCTTCCACATACCCCAGTACCTTGCTGGAAAGGCAGGTTGGAACACCCCGAGGGTGTGGCACGTGGAAAGACCGGGAAGCACAGGTGCTGGAGTGGGTCCCATAATCTGGGCTTTCACAAGCCCCAGACACTCTGTTTGCTGAGATGTTCTGGCTCTCAGCACCTTTGGGCAGGGCCATGAGTGCTGGGGACAGGAGGGCCAACTCCTTGGTTTGTTGATTAGTGGGGACCACTGGGCTCCCTCTCAAATGGGTCTAACCATTTATCTGGGTGCAGGAAAGTGGAATTGCAGGGCTGGGAACCATAGCCTGAGCCTCATGTTGACTCAGTATAGCATGCACTTAGGGTCCATGGTGCCAGACACGTGAGCAGCTGATAGCATCTGTCCTCAGGTCACTCTGAGAAAGCCCAGGTTAACGACTACATCGGTTTCTCCAACTCAGATGCCTCCTGCATCCTCTCTTCCACCTTCCTGTTTCTTTTATGGCTTCCATCACCTTTGAAAGTTGCCACCATTTGCCCTCTTGTTTATCTGTCTCAGCCCCATCAGACACACCCCTCACCCACCCAACCGTGAGCTCCATAAGAACAGGGTCTCGTCACTTGTTCCCAGCACCCAAAATGGTGTTTGGTCCATAGCAGGCACTCAAGAAATAAATGTTCAATAAGCGAATGAATGAATGAGTGGATGAACAAATGAATGAATGAGAACAAGAAGAACCCATGGAGTGAGAGATCGGGAGTGAAGGAAGACGGAGAGGTCGCACTCCCAAGGTGGGATTTTGGAGTTTCAGACCGTGGTGAGTGGAAGTGTCGGAACAGATCCCCAGGAAATACTAGGCCTCCATGCAATATTACAGGTTTTTAAACGTAGCCTTAATGTGATTTTCGCATATTGGGAATAATAAAAATGTAAGCGATGTCTGCTCAGAGCACACTCCCTGATTCAATTTCCACTCTGTTCACGAGTATGTTGTTAAATTGTCTGGTCCCACGGGTTAAGAACAGATTCGGAGTATATTCAAATCAGAAGGCCCAGGAGGTGATACAGAGCAGAGCTTTCCGATCTTTTGACAGCAGCTCACAAGAAGAAATACAGCCGACACAGCGACCCAGGACCTGTGCATGCCACGTACACACACACGTGAAAGGTACAGGAAACCATATCTTCCTCTGTGCAATACACTCTATTTTCTGTTGGTTCTTTTTCCTTTTCTCTACAAAATGATGGTTGCCACTTGTCAACGTGACTTCACAACCTACTTAAGGGGTCACAGCTCACAGTTTGAAGCTCAGCAGGTCCAAAGCCTGCAGTTTGTATATGGGAAAACAGAGGGAGATCCAAGCTGGGCCAGTG